ATAACTTATTTGTCAGTATCTCACTATTTAATAAGCCATGTGATAACTCTTAAATGACAATCCCATTATGGATGCCAAAGAGACTTCCCACCACCTGTTACAGGGAACGTTTGCTATCGAGAGATGCACTCCATATTTAAGCTCCCCTCCCCCTATTTTGCATGGCTTTATTTAATGTATTTTCAAAAGACATTGACGACACTGTTTTTTTCAACTGTATATATTGTATGTAGAATCAATTGCTCGGTTTTACATTCCTTTTGAGGACCGACCACCACGCAATCATTACTCCTAACCCCCCCCCCAGCCTAGGTACAAATGATCTTGGCCGTCATGCACTATGCAGGCAGTGAACCTCTAAGTATAATGGTAAGATTTAAAAATCAATTATGCTGTACATTTGCTTGGGCTTGCGTCAAATAATTGTAAAAAAAAAATCAAGATTTTAAAAGTATAACAACAGAAGTGGCGTAATCTAGAAATTAGTCTAGTCCTTTGTGTTTTCAGGGTGCATTGTGTAGTTTCCCTTGCCACAGAGCCACTTCTGCAGTGGTCGATTATAAACCTGTTTTGTGCCTCGCTTATACCCAGACCCGTTCATGTTGATGGCAGCAGAAGAGTTGTGGCTGGTCAGCGTGACGGTATTGTCATCTGCGTCTAAAACACACGCCCAAATATTACTGATGGGCATATGGCGTGCTTGCAACGCAAGTAGCCTTGCGCATCATTCGCGTGCGTCGGTGAGGTATTGGTATGCTGTGTCGGCTGTTAAGGGGTGGGACAGGCCCCATGGCAGTGCCTGTCAATGACGTGCCTGTAAGTGTCAGCCCCCCCCCCCAGGTAATGCAGGCCCAACTGAATGGAATATTCCTTACATAGCGTTTGTTTACGTGCTACTGTCTTTCATGGTTTATTCTGTTGCCTTGGTTCAGAATTGGTTATGGTTAGTAACATTGTTACCTCAACACTTGATTGATTTTAATTGTTGGCTACGCTTGGAATAAATGTGCCCGTGTAATAGATTGTAGTTTAATTTATATTTACCTATTTGCTGGGTTTAATTACGTAGATTGTTTTAAGTGGAGATCAATTGGTGAACAGTTGGACCAAGTTCTAGAAGCTTATCCTGAAACAGTTTTTAATTTTGGTGGAATTTTTTCATCGTTTTGATTTTAGGAATGTTGACATTTTTATAAAAACATTAAATATCTGCACTGCTTCCAACAGCTTTTAGGGTATTGTGTCCACACTGGCAAGTTGCAGTACACCCTCACCACTTTGGAACATTATTTGTCTTCAAGGGACTCCACGATGTAGTTTATACTGATTTGCATTAGTGAGTCGGAATAAACGTGGGATTTGTAGTCTCGTTCTAATGCAAAGTTAGCTTCTGAAATATATGGCCTTTGCAGTTCCACTTTTGTCTGGGAAAGGCAATTATAATTGACTATAACCTCCCAGGGCTTGAAATAACGTTCCCTATGAAACAAGACATTGCCTACAACCTGTTGCAGGTAAATTCAGGAAAGTTAAAGCCTCAATTGAAAATGTAAAGAACCTAAATAGACCCATGGTACCAAAGTTTTAGCCAAGCCAATGGGTTTTTTTTAACGTGACTTGTGAGGCAGGGAAACTCGCGTTTGGTGTCCCCTTGTGAACAAGGAATTACTGGCATTTGATGAAGTAGGATGCATATTTCTTATGTGTTGCCTCCTGTATACTTTAGCGTTAGGGTCTTGACAACCGAGCGAAATACTGTTGGCGTGTGGTGACAGTTGATTTGTGCACAAACTGAATTGGGGGGGGGGGGGGGGCGGGGCCATGATTCGAGTTGTGTTAGATACGGATGACCAGTTAATGTTTTTCTTCCAAATCAATGTCATTTTTGTAGAAAATAAATTTTAAATGTGGAAAATCAGATTTATAAAAAGGTAGTTAAAATGGCAATGAAATGAAATGCTTGTGCGCTTGTTCAAATTAATAGCACTTGTTTGCATCATCTGGATGGAATGGTGGATATCCTGTTGACCGTGCGGCCGTTTGAACCATCAATGCATTCGTTCTGAAATGTGAGCGTTAAGGATTTTACTTGGAACAATAGTCAGTTTTGAAAAACTTTAAAAATCCTGACGGCTTGTATATATAGTCTAGGAATGTAATGTGTAATCATTACCTTATCCCGCTTGTACATTACTTTCTTAGTGGGCAGGCATGTTCTGCTTTTTTACAAGCTGTACATATGCATGTAGAAATAAAACATTTTAAGCATCCATCTTTCATAGTATCTTGCGACATTTTTGGTGTATCAATTATTTCAATGAAACACTTGCTATGAAGCCATGATGTTAATTGCTCACTGTCGATATTAACAATAATTGCAAACCGACCACCCCCACACCCTTGCTACTCGTTGGGTCTGAAATTAGACGCAGGCAATTATCACACGTGTGCGCCATCACACCTCTCGCTGTGCCGCCCGTTTCTTTTTTGCTCTTCAGCTGACGGTGCCACTGTCCAATGAACCTTTCAAAGACTTTCCACGGTGGCATCGGGCAAGGCACTAAGACATGCAGGGACAAACCGTGGTATTTTTTTCACGAGTCAACATCGTGGCTAACTTGCCTGTCCGTTTGACACGTAGGTTTTTGTGACCAATATTCATTAAGGTTTTTTTGGGCGAGATCGCGCAAGTAATTAGTAAGGTTTGTCACGTAAACAAAAAACGGTGTGGAGAGTAAATCCACATTAACAATTTCAGGACGTTTCGCTGGTAATTACATCCCAGCATCATTGGGCGATTTTGTCTGTTCGCGGTTCACTATTGCCACTGTTCTTGACTCTAACTCCATAAATACTTAATTGGCTGAAAATACCTTCATACGTAGCACAGTTTTGGTTCGCTACCTTTCCACATGTCTGGCAGACCAATTAAGATCTTATTGGCCCGATTACAAGGGAGAAACACAAACATAAACTTTTTTTGCCCGTATTGAAACAGCTGTACGCCATATGGACCTGAACTCTCAATTTCCCTGTACAAGAATACGGAAAACCGTATGGGTTGACAGGTGTGGTCTGTGGACCCTCGGCGAATGTCCAATGCATTGTGCATAAACTACAGTGAGGGAAAAAAGTATTTGATTCCCTGCTGATTTTGTACGTTTGCCCACTGACAAAGAAATGATCAGTCTAATTTTAATGGTAGGTTTATTTGAACAGTGAGAGACAGAATAACAACAAAATCCAGAAAAACGCATGTCAAAAATGTTATAAATTGATCTGCATTTTAATGAGGGAAATAAGTATTTGACCCCCTCTCAATCATAAAGATTTCTGGCTCCCAGGTGTCTTTTATACAGGTAACGAGCTGAAATTAGGAGCACACTTAAAGGGAGTGCTCCTAATCTCAGCTTGTTACCTGTATAAAAGACACCTGTCCACAAACGCAATCAATCAGATTCCAAACTCTCCACCATGGCCAAGACCAAAGAGCTCTCCAAGGATGTCAGGGACAAGATTGTAGACCTACACAAGGCTGGAATCGGCTGCAAGACCATTGCCAAGCAGCTTGGTGAGAAGGTGACAACAGTTGGTGCGATTATTCGCAAATAGAAGAAACACAAAAGAACTGTCAATCTCCCTTGGCCTGGGGCTCCATGCAAGATCTCACCTCGTGGAGTTGCAATGATCATGAGAATGGTGAGGAATCAGCCCAGAACTACACGGGAGGATCTTGTCAACGATCTCAAGGCAGCTGGGACCATAGTCACCAAGAAAACAATTGGTAACACACTACGCCGTGAAGGACTGAAATCCTGCAGCGCCCACAAGGTCCCCCTGCTCAAGAAAGCACATATACATGCCCGTCTGAAGTTTACCAATGAACATCTGAATGATTCAGAGGACAACTGTGTGAAAGTGTTGTGGTCAGATGAGACCAAAATGGAGCTCTTTGGCATCAACTCAACTCGCCGTGTTTGGAGGAGGAATGCTGCCTATGACCCTAAGAACACCATCCCCACCGTCAAACATGGAGGTGGAAACATGCTTTGGGGGTGTTTTTCTGCTAAGGGGACAGGACAACTTCACCCCATCAAAGGGATGATGGACAGAGCCATGTACTGTCAAATCTTGGGTGAGAACCTCCTTCCCTCAGCCAGGGCATTGAAAATGGGTCGTGGATGGGTATTCCAGAATGACAATGACCCAAAACACACGGCCAAGGCAACAAAGGAGTGGCTCAAGAAGAAGCACATTAAGGTCCTGGAGTGGCCTAGCCAGTCTCCAGACCTTAATCCCATAGAAAATATGTGGAGGGAGCTGAAGGTTCGAGTTGCCAAACGTCAGCCTCAACCTTAATGACTTGGAGATCTGCAAAGAAGTGGGACAAAATCCCTCCTGAGATGTGTGCAAACCTGGTGGCCAACTACAAGAAACGTCTGACCTCTGATTGCCAACAAGGGTTTTGAGACCAAGTACTAAGTCATGTTTTGCAGAGGGGTCAAATACTTATTTCCCTCAATAAAATGCAAATAAATTTATAACATTTTTGACATGCGTTTTTCTGGATTTTGTTGTTATTCTGTCTCTCACTGTTCAAATAAACATACCATTAAAATGATAAACATCATTTCTTTGTCAGTGGGCAAACGTACAAAATCAGCAGGGGATCAAATACTTTTTTCCTTCACTGTATACTGTCGACTGAACTAAGCATCACGTTTCCCCCCCAAATTGGCAAGCACAGTTAAGCTTTCCAGAAAAAATATTGCATTTAAAAAAAATCATGCAATCTAATGCCAATTATTTTAAAAACGTTTTAAAACTAAAATGTTTTCTAACTAGCTTTTAACTGTAATTAGACTCCTTCAGTTATATATTTAGTAATCCAGAAGCAGGTCTCGCAGCTGTGTTGATGCAGCATAACTGTGTTCTGTCCCTGTGTATACACACGTCATTTTAAGTGTTTAAACGTTTAACACTCGAGACGTACACACGTGCTCATGACGGGTTTTTTTATTATTGGCTCAACAGATACCAGGAGAGGGCAGCAAAAGTCTGTCATTCTGTAAACATTAAAAAAAAAATCTTAGACAACATTGACAAGTGTAAAACCTATTGTAAATACATTGTTACAGGCGTGTCTCGCTTAACGGGCGTTCTTTTTCTGAGAATTCGATTTCACGAGCAATTTGAATTTCTACCTATTTGTTCGAAAAGCTATCAAAATATTCGCTTATCTCGGGAAGACCGATGAATAAATGCGTCCCGTGGCACCAGGGGATGCACCGCAGGCGCAGCTGTTTATCAGCTGTGCTGCGGTGTGTAAACATCACCACGAGTGAGACAAAGGCGGCCATGCGTGGTGCTGTCCACCCACCCCTCATGTGTGCAGTACTAGCCTTGATAGCTGCTACTCGGCTCACAGCACTTGCCCCAAACAGTCTGTTCAGGCTATCGGGGGCCCTTGCACTGTGGTTCTTCATGTGTGGTGTTAAATTTAATGTTCTTTGTTAAAAAATTATAGTCATTTGTATATAATTTTAAAAAAAGTTGTTCAAGAGTGGAAGATGATGGGGCCGAATCGTAACTTGGCTTGTAGCATGAGAGGAGTGAGTCAATGGGAATACGACAGATCCATTCACAGATTTTAGCATGCCGAGCAATGTTCGCGAAACGCATCTTGCCGTTTACGTGAGGCGTGCCTGTGTTAATGACAACTACCACATTTGGAAAATTGCAGTCCATATCCTGGTGAAAAAAAGTGTTGTATTCCCAAAGTTTCCAAAGTGAATACTTCAGATTGCTTCATATAACCATTCACAAACCAATGTTTGCATGGACGACCTGGCAACTTGATTCATTGTACCAAAAGCCCTTGGTATAAACGATATACAATTTACATTATCCACCGTGGAGCAGGAAAGTAAGAACAAGTCGGGACACATTTTACTCCGGTCTCGATCAGATCCCACCATACTCCACCTTCAGCCAGCTCTTTTGCAGGACCCATTTAATATCAGGTGAAAGACACGGGAATGGGGTGGGTTGGGGGGAATGCACAGCGCTGGGTTATCCTCAACGCAACATCGCCTCTGCAGAGATTTTTGTCACTCATCTGTGCCCAGCGTCGAGCTGAAGATGCGATAGTGCACTCTCCGCTGGGATTTCAGGTTGCCGCTGTAAAATGACTTCAGGCAGCACTCGAGCCACGGGTGGTTTTCTGTTGAATGAGGAAAACGAATAAAGCGACCCACGGACGTGCCCAACATTTAGGTCATTTAATAACGGCATAAGGATCCTGCTGGAGGGCCCTGTACGGCTACTGGTTTATGGCGAGTCAATTTACAAAGCGATTGGGGCATCGTAACGTTTCTGCTATGCATTCACTTTTTAATAAGATTGTGAATAAGGCAAGTTGAAATAATATTCTGCTGGAAACCAGCACACTCAGAAACAAAACCAACACAAATCACAATAATCCGAAAGCAAACATCTCATTCCGTTTCTGGGCAGGAAAACCAAAACGGGCATTTTTGTTGTTGCTCCTATTGAACTCTAACGACAGAAACGTTGATTGAACACGGCTAACATTTTTCAGAGCGCGTTTCTAACACGGGACACGGATAACACATGATTACCTGCGTTATCATCGTAAGGACACAGCCGGTGCAAAATGTCCACCAGACGATGCTGCAAATCTTGGTCCACAAGCACCTCCTCTGCTTGTAGACCGCAGAAAAATATCTCCTGCGCAAACAGAGATTCGCAGTCATTGCTGGCCGAGACGAACACAGAAAGAGACTGCAGCTTCAGACGGAGAGAGCGCTCCCACTGTACTCTTGCTTAAACGCAATTAGGACAAGCGCAGGTGATAATTCAAAACCAGCGGTCAGGATGGGCAAGCACACGCTGGCACACGTCACAGCACCTACACTTATCACCACCATCCCAAGAGCTCAATTAGTACTCTGGCAGCAATTAATAACTGTGAAAATGAGTCTTTGCGCATCCCGTTGAAAGGCTCCATTGTGTTTGGCGATGCTGTGGGGTCGTGCTTATGGCAACACGTATGTATGTTGAACTTCTTTCGCACTGTACGGAGCCAACCATGCTAATCACAAGTGTGTGGGGGAAGTATACCAAACTAGACAAAACGCAGTTGTAATTAAATGAGTTTTCAATCTTGATTTAAAAGTGCGTAGCTCCAGTGGCTACCTAATATGGGAAGAGCATTCCAGACAGCCACAGAAGCGTACCTGAAAGCGTGTGATGCAGTGACTGTCTTTGTACGATGGCTAGCCAAAATCCGCTGCTGTGAGGATCACCAGAGTGCAGGTAATGGTCTACGCTCCTTGACGAGATCAGCAAGGTATTGTGGTTTATTTGTGACAAACGCACGGCACCATCGTTGCTTGCCCAGCAGTTTTCCATTAAAGTTAGCGAAGCAGCACTTGAGAAGCAGTAGAATAAGGCAGTACAATAATCTGATGCGACATTCTCATGACAACTGGCAAGTTGACTCCATCACTCTAGGAATTGTCCTGGACCAGCATAGCACGAATTTTGCACTGCTTCCCAAGTCATGCAGCCATGGGTTCAGCCCTTCCCACTCTGCCCTCTTTTTATGCTCCACAGCTGCAGGGACGCAATCATAATAAGAGTTTATTTTAAGGAGTGTTTAACGGAGACTTTAGTTAGGTTAGACTAGCAAAAGTTGAAAAAACACAGACAAGGTTCACTGCTGCAGATATGGAGTGATGAAATAAACTCGTATGCATGTGCTTGGCGGGCTCGAGCAGGACATGTCCCTAGAAGGGATGGTCAGTGGTCAAAACTAATGACAGTGGCAGCCAAAGGTAGATTTCACGCTCAAGAAGCAACGAGATCAGCTCGTGTTTAAAAGCTGGATGGAATTTGCATCGCAGGAAACTTTGATGGCGATGGCTTGCGGGGGCCTTCATCCAGCAGTGGATTAATCGTTCCGGCCGATGACAGTCCCCAAAAACCACAGCCCTGACGTTGACCTCAGCGAGGGACGTCAATGACCGAGCCCGTCTCTTCTTATGCACTGACTCCGTGGATTATCACGAGTGTTTCCAAGGGTGGCCCAGGTGAAAGCCAATGGGCAACTGCTCGTAAAATTGAGCACGCGCGGTCTCAGCACTCGAGTCTGGTCGGCCTGGTAAGGCTGCTGTCGAAATTTCAGCCGAGACCATTCACCCGGCTTGAGCACCGAGCCGGTTTGGTTCCCCACCGGCTGGAAACGCGGTGTAGCTGCCCTGTGAGGTGTAACCCGACAGCTAGCGGTGGGCGGGGGGGGTGTTGTGGAGGGGATTGAGTTGCAACTTACGGCCTCGTCTGCAGCGAGCGAGGCTACGATGTCGCCCGTGGAGTCGCGCAGGTGGAATCTCAGAGTGAAGATATATCGCATGGGTTGTATTCCCAAAGCTGAGAGGCACAGTGATATTGCAGTACGTTAATAATGACAATGGATAAAAAAGAAAATGTTTGCCGAATACAACAAGTTAATGAGGCTGTGATGGTAGCCTTCAGCGAGCACCACCTCCAGCGATCTTGTTCACGTCAAAGGATTTCAACTTCTCCAAGCCGCAAAGACTTCCGGCTCTTGGCTGACTGCAATCCAGACATCTGTGGGAAAACAAAATTTAAATTGTAATTTTTATAACCGTGCTGTCGGTGTCGTGTCAAGAGAAGACGCTTTCAGGAACATCTGCCAAGCAGTCTGACCCGTCGTGTCTGTGATATCTGCTGTGGTAGCAGCTATCACAGAACTACTTCCAAGATCCCTTCAATTGAGATCTCACCCAACCGAGGGGGCAGCTCTTGCCCACCTGCCTTATTGCAGAGTAAGATTTGTTGCATGGAAGTCAAACTGATATTTTCAACTCTCAAAAGAGCTGGAATTTAACAAAATGGCAACCCAAATGTAATAAATGTCTGAGGTCATTCACCCCGGGACTGAGACGGTCAACTCAAATAACTTAAGAATGTGGCTTGACCATGGGTGGCTGCCTGATATTTACGCAGGATCTTAGGCGGTGAGTAATTTTATTTTCAAATTGTCAACCCAAGAGGTCATCTAAATGACACGACCCTCCCCCCCAGGGCGAGCGTGTGGAAGGTGCCGCTTGACCTGAAGTAACTCCGACTCTTTTTGATGACAAAAGGAACTGGGTCATCGCACATAGTGAGAACGTCATCCCGCGGCGTCACGGGGATGACGCACCCAACGTCTTCGGAAAGGTTTTGCAGTTCCGTTACGGCCGTGCCTGCAAAGCCTCGCAGAAAACACAGAATAAACGCCCCAGGCTGCGTCACGGAAACAAATGATCGACGCAAGACAGGGTTCTTGCGTCAAGTCATATTTGAAAGAAATAAAAATGTACTTTTGAGTTGAAATTCCGGACGGGGGCTATGCGTGGTCAAGCAGCACGAGTCGAACAGGCAGTGTGGGTTTAACAAGCAACGCGGATCTAACGAGCAGCACACGTTGGGGCCCCTGGGAGGTCAATATTGGATTTCCTAGAAATAAACTGATCCCTGCCATGGGAATGCAAGAATTTCCACCACTGGCAAGAGTACGCCAAACGAAATGAGCACTGTAACATTTCTTGTTCGAGCACAAAACTAATGAGCCTGAATGAAGACGCATACTGCTGTGGGAAAAAAAAACCAAATGAAATTCACAAAGGACCTGACTAAAAATTCCACAGGATGTCCTCAACTAGACTTGGGACTAGGACACGAATAAAAAAAAAGATGCCGACTAAATGAACAAATGGCTGCAGCTGTGACGACGGCGACTCACCTTCCACGAGCAAAGCAGATGCCTGCTTAGTGCCCGTTCTTCCACCACACGGCACGTAGCGGAAGACGGGTCTTTCTCGGCAGGTCCAGCCATCTTCCAAGGCAGCCGCGTCCTCCTCGGAGCAGTGGTTCCACAAGCTGGACTCGTGCTCCTCACTCCTCTGCACCACCGGGTTATCCGGCCACGTGGCAAGGCCTTTGAGCACCGACGAGATGACCTCCTGGCTCGGAATGTCCCGGCTGACGACGGTGTGTGCAGGGCATTGTTGCACGGGACAAGTTTTAAAATGTAAATGACTTGAGCTTCATTGCTCATCTCGACTTGGGTCACGATGCCCGAACGGTTAATTTAAACATTGCCATTACATGCTAAATGCAGAGTGTGGGATTTTTTGCGACATTCGGGTTTGACGTGCAACATAATACAGTATTACTTAGCAGGCAAATCGTGTGCTTCCACTGGGTAAACTAGAGTACAAGTACTGCATTGGCACGAGTCAGTCCTTGCCTTATAGCTACATTACTTCCTGTAATAACTCATAGTAGGCTCATTGTACAAGCTTCAGGACTCAATCAGAGTAGCCTAAATCTACAGCGTCATGCCTAAGCATGACCTACAGGACTGCCTGAGTGGAAACTCTAGTCCCACCGTGCTGATGCTTGGCACTCATCGCGGTCAGTTTTCAGGTCTTATCACGTGATGTTTGGCATCGTGTCTGATGTTTCGCGCCATGCCGACAGCTTCTTCAGGAACTGTGAGCGAAATGTCAAGGCATTATGCCGATCGTGCGATAAAACCCGAAAATACATCAGAGCTACATAGTACTGCTGTGCCAGGAGTCGCTAATACAGTCTTGGCGTGAGCTTCAGTGGTGAAAACTGTGTGTGCGATGCGTATTGCTTACAGGGCGTTGCACCGCGGGCAGTGCAGCCTGATGCTGCGCAAGAGCGACTCTGGACGGTAGCTGATGAGCCTGGCGCGGGCGCGATGTTTATTCGGGACCGGGGCAGCCAACACCGTGCTCAGGGCAACGGCCTTTATGTGATGGTGGGCCGTCAGAACTGCAGGGCGGGCACATTGTGATGGTGGGGGGGGGTCCGTGCAGCATGTGTAACACGGAGGAGTGGTGGTGTAGTGGTTCGCGCGCTGCGCTACAAAACCAAGAAACTCGAGTTGGATTCCCGCTCACGGCCAACCCCGGTGACGATTATTTGTACTGGTGCTTGGCCTCCCCGAGGTCGACTCAACCTCAAATGAGTACCAAGTGCGGTGTGTAAACATCGTCACTGGGGAGACAAAGGCGGCCGGCGATGGTGCGGGCCACCCACCCCCTTGTGTACCGTTCCGGCCTTTATAGGTGCTCGCTAACAGCACTTGCCCCAATCTGTTAAGGCTATATGAGGACGTTTGTTTCGTACACGGAGGAGGCTACTTCTGCCGCATTCCCCCGAAACCACAGAGCTGTGCCTACCGGTGGCCGAACGTTGCAGGCAGCGAGGTTCCGTGTCGTCATCGCTGAGCTCCTCCCGTGTACCCACTAAGCCTTCCACTGCCTCGCCCTGCCACTCTTCTGTTGCTGGGGATGGTTAAATGACACCAGTTACTGAAACCTTTGGCTAATGCAGTGACATTTTAAATACTTCGGGAACTCATTCATTGCTTGGCTGCAGAACGGTTTCGTAAGTGATCGTTATGTAACAAGACGAGTGACCAAAACAATGAATGTGAATCAATAAAGCAATCCAACGTTACATGCCTAACAAGTGGAACTCAATGTTTTTGGTTGTTAACCGATAGGCATAGCATTACAGTGACATGACCGAGAATAAAATTATGACACCCACTATTGTGCATTTTTTTCTTCTTTATTAACTTAATATCAACATTTTAATCTCATTTTGACAGAGCCCAGGTAGGTATCTACAAGAGCCGTTTGTTTGGTCTTGCATCTTCCTTTAAGGAATGTTCATCACAATGTGTATCTATTAAAGGAGTTTTGGAAGAAGCTTTACTACTTTATGTTTACAAATTTTACAGACGTAAAAAGTTAAAGGTAACTTTGACCGAAAGATTACAATTCGAAATCTACAAATATTCCACGACTCATGAGAAACGTCCCACTTGACGAAGTGGCCAGCATGCACAAGTTATTTATGACCAGAATTACTTTCATCCGTGTCGTCTGCTGCTGCTAGCAGAGCATCTGTGACCAAGGCATCTGCAGCTTTCTCTGCCACCTTTTCCAGAGCCCTGTGGTTCAGAGACAGGAATCGGAAGGAAGAGAGGAATGCATAACAGAATCAGAATCATTCTTTATCCCAGAGGAATCTGATGAGCTATGAAGCTCTTTTCCACAGACATCCAGTAGAGGTGGGTCAGCAAGTTACATGAACTAAACAATACAAAAAAACAATATTCAAGAGCAAGATAGGTTTGGTGTAATGTAACATTCCTAATAACCTTTTCTTTTTTTTTGAAAACATTGACAAGTGAATGTACAACCTTAGACATTGATAAATATGTGTAATGACAGGGTGACACCTGCCAGCCTAAAGGGGTAATTAAGGTCATGGCTGCATTACATAATGCCGTATTATAAGGGGGGTGTATATGGGGTAAAGGTGAAAGGCTGAGTCAATCGAGAAGCTCCGGGAACCAGCCCGAAGGTTCTGGAAAGGGGACGTGGCCAGAGGTGGAGCTTGGCCGCGCCGGGACAGATATAAGGGGGGCCGAACCAGAGGTTCGGGGCTGTTACGGGTCCTGGCTGCGTCGCTGCTCTCTGCCATCTCTTCGTCTCCGACCATGTGGCTGATCTTCTGGAAGACTCTCTCCATCGCCGCGCTGGTTGAACAGCTCGCGGAGTCAAGCCGGAGATGGGGCTACGTGTTAGCATCGCCAATGTGTAGCTGCGTTACACGATGTATCGCCGAGTGTGCCCTTGAATAAATAATAAGTCTTCTACTCGACGTGTCATTACATATGTAATAACTCATATGAAAAAATATATAATATTCACTCAAAGATGCCTCGCCGAGTATTTAAGAACCTTATTCAGGAGGGTGCCTGCTTCAGATGTTTTGCCAATTGTTTTGAAAAGCATTTTCACGTGGGTGAGAAATTGAAGTGCACTGCATACAAGGGGAAAAAAAACATCCCATATACTTATTCCGCACGGGTGCAACAATTTTCCTCCCTTGCAATTCGATTAATTGTCGCGATTCAGGGTCACGGTTCTGAACAGAATCATTCATTATCTTTTTAACACTGCGGTGACTGCAGTGGTCTCGCTCCTGGCTGGAGAAGTCGCGTGAACCCATTATCCGCAACACCTGCGGATCCAAACGCCGCCGATTCTTACACACGTCATTCAATACGCGCATCACCACCTTAACAAGGAGCGAAGAATCGTCGCCTAATCTACCGACGTGTGTTCCTACCACGAACGCCTCTAACCCAGCAGCCAACAACGTGTGGGTCAGTGAAGCATACTTCACAGTGGACGTTGAAGATCCTGTAAAGGTTTTGTATATATGAACCTTATGGCAGGACCCCGGGGTCCCATAAGCCCCCGGCTTTCACATAAACTGCGTTGCGACGTCATTTTATGTCTGTTGAATGCTCTACGTGATGCGCTAATCAAAGTTTTGTTTCTTCTGCGTATTTGTCCTCGCTGCGCTTGGACGACACGACAACAGAATGATCCGCGCCAGGTGGGTCGCGGCGTTTATGTGCGCGGTGGGACGGAGTCGCCAAAAATAAATAAAATAATTACGGTTTTGACTTCCGTTTATTCGGGACCCAAGGGTCCCGACCTAAAGTATAATATATAGTTTTTTATTGAAATATAATATTAAGTTATTTTAAAAAAAGAGAAGGCCATCCACGTGTGCCGGCGTCCAAGTCGATTAATTATTCGCAAATCAATCTATTAAAAAAACTTCTTTATTTTACCAGGGAAGGCCCACTGAGCTATATTGCTCTTGTTCAGAAGAGACCTGGTCACAAATGATAGCTTAACAAAGTGGCTTATGTGAACATTTATAGCAGACAAATACTCTAAACGCGTGTTGTTGATTCTAAATGTGGAGGGAAACACCGGAGGACCCGGAGAAAAATCCATGCAACCACAGGGAGAGAGACATGAAAACTCCAAATATAAAGCAGGTGTCAGGGTCGGGATCAAACCCACGACCTACAGTATACCACTGTGGTGGCACCCCTCGGTGCCCTGTCGCAGGATGCCTTAAGAGGCACTGCAGCAGGAGGGTGCGGTATAAATATTTAGTGGGGACAATGATGATGTCAAACTAGTCTTGTGGCTATGTCAGAAGCCATACCGATGCAGCGAGAGGAGCTCTGGGCTGTCTTTGGGGAGCGTGATGATGGCACGGCCGAAGGCGGTACCGCCCCCGTGTAGAACGAACTCCAGCTCGCCCTGGGTCGTATCAGACTTGTTCCTTGACTTCCGTAGGTAGGTGTGCAGGTTTAAAATCTCCAGGAACGACCCCAGCTGCACCACACGTGCATGGGGAGGGATGGAGCAGCAAGCGCAACGACGCACCGGTTCGTACGTACGGATGTACGTTGGAACTTCTTTCGCATGGTACGTAGCCAACAGTGCTAATCGGAGGTTCACCAACTAAAAGCGACGCTTACGCTCCAGGTACATCACCCTGAATCGTTTGAGAGCTGAAAATGATTCGTGCAAAAAACAAGAAAATTATTTTGAAACGTTACATTTAGTATAAATTACAATGCAGCCCTGCAATGTTTTGCTCACGCCACTGCTGGCAGAAGGGCCTCCACTTGAAAGAACTCTCTTGAGTCACTACAGAGGGTATTTGGCCTACTCTTTCAAACTGGGCAGACATCTTAAAAGCGGTGCAAGTACCTACACTTTACCCCACCCCACACAACCTGCTAATTTGCTCGAAGAAAAGTTCACGAGACGGCTAACAATAGAATAATATGGAATTCGCAACTCTAATCATGCAAATTAATTGCAAAGCCGTGGAAAGGGGGGGGGGGGCTGGTGGTGAATGGGAAGGTTTTGGTGTGAATCATAATAGTTACATTAGCAGGATAGGGTGGGGAGATGGGAAACATCAGCCCTGAGACTGTTAAATGCATGACACAAATAAGAGCTGCTACATTCTTGCTAAATGGTTGCATCTGGGAGAACCAAACACTAACAGTAAACCACATTGTAATGCTTTGTGTGCAACACAATCTTCTCCAGCAGCATCCACGATTCTCTGAACCTTGCTTGTAAAACCAAATATTTGCATGACGTCTTAGGAGACTCTTTTGTTTTTAAATGCGAATTTAAACTTGAATTGTACAGTGGCCGAGTGAAAACTACAAAATAAGCAAAACCAATAAAGATATATAGCAGGCCAAATGCAATCTCATGTAAATGGCTAAAGCCTTGCACTTTGCGATTGGCATTATTTCTAGTGTCACTAAGCCATTACGTACGTTTGCAGGAGGAGGCATGAAATATTCACAGGGAGATGCACTTCATCTCAACTTTCGTATTGCCTTAGCAACCACAATTAATGGAACGCAAACAATATTCCCCCAGTGATTTGTGTTGTCTATGCAAACTGCTGTTCAAGGTACTGATAGTGACACTTCTTTTTATGTGCCGATTTCTGCAGGCACGAGCCTGTGAAGTGCAGTCTGTGCCCTGCAGAATAAATCTGCTGTCAGCGTATGATAAATGAAACCCAAGCGCTTTGATATTTAAACCTATGAAAATATTCATTTGCAACTGCATGCATAATATATCACCAGATAGGGACACCTAAAACAAGGCCCAGAATATAACTGTCAGTTTCAACAGCTCTGCTTAATAGGGATCCTTTATCTTCATGTCCAGCAGATGACGGCAAAGAGCCTAGGATTTGCTGTTGAGTCCACTGTTGGCTGCATTGTTAGCAGCCACATCATTGTATGACCAACTGCAGCATTGTGCTAGTTATAGATACAATTTCTAAGAACACAAAGAACTATTGAATGCTCAATTAATGCATGCATTATTAGACAAAAAAAGGAAAGCCGGAATTTTTATAAAGCTGTCATTAATGTAAATCTTTTGCAGATAACATATATATAAAATAAAAAGCCCTCATGACAAGGGCTTACAGCATCAATGCAGTTTTGTGCACCGCTAATTAAAGATAGGCTCTCGCAAGACACCGTTGCTGCTGTGATGGAGTCTCTAGCCAATTCCCTATTTAACCCAATGTGCTATTGCGTAGGCCAACCGAGCTTGCAGCGTTTGCGAGATGCACACTGCATCTGTTTCTATATTCAGCAACAGCCCAGGGCATTTAAATATAAATGCTTTCAGAACTTAAATGTCTTTAAGACTATTATTGCTGAGAGCTTGATTTTGTGCGATGAACAAGAAGCAATGTTTTATATACTACTTCTGTAAAAATGATTGCTTTGACATGACCTGCATAACAATCCGAGGTACCATAACAATACGTACATTCCAGATGAACTTTAAAATCTATGGCTTATAACAACTGCAAAAAAAGTGGAAGTTGCGGATGTTAAAGAGCAAATTGTAAAAGAGGATGTTTAATGGTTCAAAAGCAGATGGAAATTTGCAGTTGAATGTAAATTAATATTACAGATATACAAACACAAGTATTTTTATGCGGTATTCATTTCCCATGATTACATTTAAATAAAAAAAAATAACTATTAAAGAAGCCCCACAAAACTTTAAATTAAGACTAAATGGTTTTTCATACTAGGTCCCATATGACTGGGGGGAATGCGCCATAATAAATCCTATTTAAATTGAATTTCATGCCAGCAAGTCACCACACACATCCAAAAAGTAGAATTCACGGCTGAGCTTGTAAAAAATCCATCCCGTCTGATTTCGCCAAACCTTGCACCTGCAACGGCTCGCTTTGGCTACGCTTTCATCGTTAGAATCTTAGAAACGTTTTGCACAACATACGAGACACACACCTCATGGTTTAGCAGATTAACAGCAACGTCCCAGCATGAGAGCAACTCTTAAAAAAAAAAATCCCACTCCAGATATTTGTATTAAAAACAGCATTATTGGCAGTTATGTAGTGTAAAATGGTATTTTCATTTTGCAATGTTAATTAATAACAAGGAAAAAAAGAATAAAGTATGATTATGGGAAACTGAGACTAATGGGAGACTTAATACTCAAAATTACCTTATGCTTTAAACTCGGACCTGACCAACTGGGAAAAGGATTAGTCATGACCGTAATAAAATAATAAATATCCAGTCTTTCATGTGACCAAGCTATTAGCCAGGGTGGGTGGGAGCATTACTAACCAGCTCGGGGGGCCATTGGACGCCCAATTTCTTAATTGCGTACAATTTGAATGTCAATATTTATTCAGCCGACCATTAACGTCATTATCCATAGAAAGAAATGATTCGCTCTTTTAGCAATGATTCATCACGTTCGCCAGCCGCCACTTGTGGGCGGCGTTAATGCTCGCCCCGCTCCTCTCGCCAGTGAGGACTTCATGGCCACTTGATTCCCCCGTTGTCGACAGCGGGTGGTGGACAAGATTAAGAGAGAGCTGGTCGCATTCCGCTATGTCGATAATGTGACGATGCTCCTAGTGAGCTGCGAATATCTGAAGTCACTCTAACGCCAAGATCCTGCTCAGTGATCACACTGGCCCCGATGCCATGAGCAACCTGAAGTGGGTAACTAAATGCACTCGCTTGCTGCAATGGGAAGAAGGTATAAGCTGCTCAAGGGAAGAGTCACGGTGTGAAAAATGTTCCTCTCAATCGATGAATTCCAACATCCAAATTAACAAGTTAAAAATAATTACAACATTGTTGAAAATTCTCATCTAGCATTGTTTAAAAATGTAAGAATTTTAAAAGGGTCCAATGATTGGTGGCTGCAGGGTTGTTTTCAACACAAGGTAATGCAGCTAAAATCCATTGTTGTACTGTACTATGCTCCAATGGCTGTTCCCTTCCTTCACCAACCCATACTAATGAGCAAGGTGAAGTATGGGGAAAATTAACCCCCATGACCCCCATGGAGTGGAAGATGCTCATCCAATAGACGATTGACAAAAGGCTCTACGTGATCATTAGTGGTTTTTCAACTTCCGCACATAATCGGACACCAAAAGTTGTTGCTTTTCAATAACTCTGATGTATCCAATTGTTTTCCTATACAGAATAGCAATGATAGTTTGCCCAACTATCCACAAATAACGATGCATAATCTCTTAACACTACTTGTGTAAGTATTTCCAACAAGGATGTGCGGTCTTAGTTGCAATTAACAACAAATGTAGTTCATGATAAAAAAAAAACACATTTAAGTGAGCTCACCTGCAGGTCCCTTGTAGTTTTCGCATGGTTATCATAGGCGGCAATATCCACGACCAGTCCTCTTGACCGCTGAAGTAAGTCCGACCTTGACACCAGGATAGAATAGTCGATAGGAAAGCAGTGCACGGGGTAAGGGCATTGCGTTCCATCCCATACCTGGGGGAACAAAGCACGCGTTGAAGCATCCACCACTTAACCAGTCACGTGTCCTCCTGGGTCAACCAGAGTGCCCCAACCCCTCCCCTTAACCCACTCCCACCTGTCCTGGTAACCCTCACCTTAGCTACACCACCACTTTTAACAACCACACTCTGTATGTTAACTACTGCCATCGAATGTACACATTTATAATTATTTCAAAGCCCCTTGCACAAAGGGACTAAATAAATCTCCATAAGATAAAATTACCTTTTCAATTATGCAAACCCCTTTGTAGGAGGGCTTTCTAGTTCAAACTTTACAACTACGGGATATTTTTTTCATCTAAGATGCTGTATTTAAAAAAACAAATATTTCCCCCCAATGTAATCCACATTGCATGATCGACGTTATGTTACGATAAAGTACCTACTATGATCTCTGGCAACCCTTCATCGTAGGGAATAGCTCACGGAAGCGGATGTCGCTCAGCTACCTCTGACATCTCTTGGAGGGATCTCCGAGCCAGTGCAGAACACTCTCATCTGCTCTGGCACCAAGATTAATGTTTGTCATATGAAAGTCAAACCGATATTTTGGATTCTCAGAACTGAAATTTTGCCAAATTAAGAGCAGAACAAAAGTAAATATGAAGCTGTTTTTTTTCGTGCAGTCGTTGGTGACTGTGTTAAGAACCCCCACTAATACAGGGCATGAGGACAATGATACATCACAGGTGGCTGATCTCGGAGTAGACCGCAGAATCTCATTGGTGCGAGCTCAGCACTTTGATCTTTGAGCCACCCAGCCATCTCAACTAAATTCATGCCTAAACCTTCAGCTCAAGGCCCTGCTGATCACCGGCACCTTGAGAATGGTCGTCCTGTGGTCGACCACGGCCTTGGCCACGAGTTGACACCGAATATCCAGGAACTGGGGTGGCTTGACTTCAAAGAGGCGGACACCGTAGGAGGGTGACACAAAGCGCTCGGACGCCCACTGACGGAGCGCCAGCAGGATTTTGTGGTCCACGGCTGGGTTGAGGTGGTAGTTTGTAGTGGTGGAGGACGGTTCAATTGAAGCGCCCATTTGACCGCTAAACACGAGCGTCGAGAACCCGGGGCTGCTGCTGCCCTGCAGCACCCCTTGGTATAGCTGGACCTGCGCAGACGCAGGCACACACGCCGGCGTGAGTAACGATGTCAAGCAAATGAAAAAGCGAGCCGACGTGGGCGCTAACGCGTGCGCGGCAGTGCGGACAATTCATTTGGGCATGCGAGCACAAAACAAGTGTCGCGGGAGCACACCACTCTGGAAGCTGTGAAACCTCATCCTGCCGTCCTGTCAAGGTGAGGAAAGTAAATCAGCACCGCGGGCTAAACAATAGCAGCAGCCGGTGCATTCGTCGCTAAGTGCTGGTGACGTTACCATGGTGCCTGTGCCAAACTAGGTGCACTTTGAGACCGCATCAAGTGGCAAACATGGACGTTGGGAATATCTCTCAGGGTAAGGAGGAGGAATGAATAAGTTGAAGCCTCAGCAGGGGGGGTTACTCAAATTCTTGACGTCCGGGAGGTGAAACTGAGAGGGAGATGTATAGGACGCGGTGGAACGAGATATGAGGACAGTGGATGTGAGGCACAGAATAGAAGCTCATAGAGGAAGATCTGAGCAGCAAACCCGATGCAATATAATGAGACTTTTAGCTTCGTAGATGCAAGTCTATGGATCTCTATGTAAGTTAATCTGTCTCTATGTAAGTCTGTGTAACTGCAGTGAACTATTGTTAAGCCTGTGGTTCTGAATGTAAGTCTACAGATCTCGATGTAAGGATAGCAGATGTGACGAGAGAAGAGGCGCAGAATAGACGTGCATCGAGAAAGAAAATCTGAGCAGTAAACCACATGCAAGAATGTGACTTTTGGCTTAGAAAAAAATTATGAAGTGGCAAAGGCTCTTTGGCAGGGGAGTCACAGGACACATCCAGATGTTATGGGTTCATTTGGCTACAGTGACTGAAAAATCCACGACCAGCACCCTTCACTATGGCAACTTACTACGTATGCCTGTACAAGCGAGCACAACAAACATGCTCACAAGCTGACAGACCAAAATACCATTCTACAACCAATTTACCATCGAAAGCAGAAGGCGTTTATTTAACTCCAAGCTTTGCATAGCCCGGTCTGGCACAGCAGCTTGTGCTCAAGCTCTGCAACCTCGAGAGGCCCAGTCTCCATTATCAGAACTCAAACTAGAAACAAAGTGACACTGACAGCAACGTATTTTTTTGCCGTGTGGCTTAAAGGATTTAGAAAACATTTCACCGACAATGCAACCTGTAAAAAAGACTATTCCTCTGGGAGGGAACAAAGTATTTTCACGAGATCAGTTAAGCGCCAGTAAGCGTGTAACTAGACCGTACTTAAACAACTTGTGGGCACGAAGCATCACCTCTTCGTGTGCATTAAGGTAACCGAGCATGTGGAGAACATTTATCCCCTCGAGCCAAGGCAAACACCCGTGTGTGTGTGTGCACAACCCTACCAACAAATACAAAACACAATGTAAATGTATGAGTACAATGTAAATGTATAAATATGAAACTGGTATCGCCCACAAGACTTATTCATGTGAAAAGAAGTAATGCCCTTTCCGATGTATTACCATCTCCCGAGTACCTCACAACCCAAGCTTACAATATCTAATATTCCCAGGCAGTCTACCACCAAAGCACTAATCAGGCTAAATTCTACTTCGCTTCCAACATTTGACTATATTGAGCGCTTTCAGAGACACGTGGTCGTCTTTGTGCCGTATACCTTGAGCCTGTGCATCCTCACGATGTCTCCGACACGTGTGACCTGTGGCAGCTGCTCAGGATGGCCAAATATCATGCACCGGAGCCCATGCTCCGGCTCGCTCTGGTCCACCAGCGACAGTATCATGAAGTGATCTGAGGACAGATAAGACAGCAGCGAACTTTTGTTTAGTCTTACATTTACTTTGATTTGTTGCACGGATTATCCTGTTCAGTAAATTGCCCGGATATTTTAAAAGGGGGATCCGTGGTGTGTAAGTACAGCAGCCAACAAAAGACAAAACATCAATATTGCCGAGAATGAATAATTTTGTTGGTGGCAAGGTACACTCATAACATTTCCTGTAATTAATTATAGTGGATGTCAGCATGACTTTGCCGTCAGCAATGCAGAGAAGGCAGATGATCAAGAATATTGGAATCCCACACACTGGATGAAATGTATCTGGGAGGAGATGGAACCGATGAAATCAGCTCGCGTGCAGGTCGATTGTTATATAATGGGGTCAACACTTTGTAAGCCCTTCAACCAAGCAGTTGACTAATTGTAGCTGATGGTGATGAAGCTACACGCATACAAATATGCCCTATAACTGTAGATTTTGGCAATAAAATGTAATCTCTTACCCCAGTGCATAATGGATCAAGATGAATGTGGCTCACAAACAAGTCTAATGATGAGGCATGCAAAGATACACATAATTTAAAAGTTTCATGAGGCCATATCAATCAATTGTGCATTTCATGAATCAATTTACGTTTTCTGAAAATTATACGCAATTATATGCTAATGCGACGCTTAGAGAGCCAATGGAGTGAACGAGGCAAAGAAGACAGTGACTATGGGGCACGAAAAAGAATCGATGCTTAAACCCTTAATCGTGACAATTATTGATATCGTGGGGGAGGATGATATTTATGGGGTTTTTTTTGCACTTGAAGCACAGTGGACCAGGAGCTTGGATTGAATCTGTGATGGTACCCTGACTGTGTATTTGCCTCCTGGATCTTGGGCTCATCTATAATTAATGGCATGGAAAGGGAAACTATTATTTAATTTTCAACAAGTCAGTCATACACTCTCTAAAACATATTTTATTTTTTTGCAAGGTGACTTGGGTTTTATTAAGCCTTAATTTATTCAACAAAGGATTCAGCTCTGTTTGGGAGCAATTTGCATTGAATTAATTCAACAAAAACAGGATGACCAAGCTTGGGAAGTGAACCTGGCAAGGGATTTTCACTAATTTTCCTAACTGGAACAATTTGTGTCATTTTATCTGGCTGCAGCCAATAAAATCAGCAAATGTAGGATTAATAATAAAAAAACGTACTTAAGTCTTTACATCTTTAAACTTTCTGAAATAAATGGTAAATTGATTTTAGCATTTCATAAAGTATTTTTCAATAACAATCAACATACAACATAAAGCCTATGACCCAATTGCAGATAGTTTAACTTTATGAGGAGTGTAATTTGTGCAAGCCGATTAAATTATTCTCTTGATGGAATATAATAAAAAAAATAACTGCATTGTGAGAATAGGTTTCCCCATTTTTCTGGCAACAAAACAGATGTCAAGATGCTAAACAAGGAATCATGTCTGCATTAACCACAATACTTGTGGTCAGAATGCAAACAAAAAACACTGATAATATATGCATTGTCTTTGAAACTGATTGATCCACACCAAAGACAGCTTTCTTTGGAGCCTAGTCTCAAAAGGTGTTAGACCAGAGGACGCCTTTTGGCATCTTAACGTTTTTTTTTGTTGCCAGAAAAAAGGGGAAAATCTATTATATTTTGGTACTGGCAAAGGAGGTCCCATGAAATAACTGCATTATTAGACAAAGCTTAACCAACTTTATATTATCAGTTGATGGCTGTCCTTAAGAAATGCTTCTTAAGAATAACTCAATTTATTTGAATAATATAACAAGCTCTAATATACCATACAGCAAACTTTCCGTAGTAGTACCAGCAACCGCTAAGGAAACCAGAATCTTACCCAATCAATTGCACTCACTGAAGCGTGGAGTTATATTCAGTGGCCCACGTCTTATTACTGCCTCACCTAATTTAATATTTTGCATTTAATTAAGCCAAACGGCACGCATCTGGAAAGCCCTGAGTCAAAGTGTGAAAACAGCTCCTAAATTTAACAGCCGCCTTGGTTTCTCTGTTAGCCCACAGGGCCAGAACCCTCGAGTGCCGCAAAACTGTCAAGAGCGGGGTGGGTGGGGGGGGGGAGCCAAATGAAACAATAGTGTCAACTACATTTTCAGAACGCTCCCACGAGTGAGTGTACGAACACGAGCCCCGTTTTAACATTAGACGTATGTCACGCGAGGCTCCGACAAAGTCCAAAATGTTAACTTGCACCGCCAGAACGAGCATCTTCATTGGTAATAGCGCTGGAAAATATACAATATAAAGCCCCGTGACCCAATTCCAGATTTACTTTGTGAGAGAAGTGTAATTAATGCATATCGCAAACATATATATATTTTATGTATATAAATATATTACATGTATATAATATATAATAAATATATACATGTAATATATCAATATATAAATATATTAAACGAAAATATTTATTTTACACACGCAAAAACATCAACTGTGACAAATCAGTGCCGAGTTCACTCGTGGTTTGTCCTGTATTCTGGCAGCTGTTGAAATAAAGATTTTTTTTTTTAATTATTTAAAAAACCTAAATAAATATTCGTATTCTCATTGACGTTAATAAATTAACCAAAATAGGTTTCCAGCCAGTATGGAAACCAAGAAAACAATGGTACATCTGGTGACTTACACCAAAGCACAGATTGTACCAAAAAACTTACACAACACCCTCTGAATGTTCTGGGCTGAAAGCTACGGTACAATGGTTAAGAGTGTGTTCGGGCTCAGCAAAGACAAGGATGAGCGCAATTATGACACGAGCATGCATGGATTTTTGGCTTGCCTGTGCCGTTTGTGAATGTCGGAGGCCTGAAGAACTTGACAGCACCATAGACATTCACTACCATGCCCTCTCGAATCTTATCGATGGTGACGTATGTGTAGCTTACATCCGAATTCTGTCGGCAAAAGCAACAAATGCATCATGACGAGACATGAAAGGTTTTGATAGGAAAAAAAATCCTCCAGCATTTTCCCTACATTTTCATCATTGTTCATATCATCGGCTCACACACAGCATCCTGCAGTGCTTCGTAGGCTGCCATGTTCTATTGCCATCGCTGCTGCTTAAGAAGCTGTTGTGATGTCAAAGAAATTAACATTCTACATGACCACTTGGCTAGTTTTTCAGGGTAGTATTACTGCAGGACTAGCAATATGTAATGTTGAGTCATTATAGCAGCATGCCCACTGGACGGGCTCTGCTCCTGTTGGTCCATCACCACCATCATCAGCAGCCACCACAATACCCGCAGCAGAATCACACGTAGCAACAACACGATCAGCAGCCACGGTAACAGCAGCAGCAGAGGTGGTCCGTGATGTGGGTTATGGGGATCACCAGCCCATCATTTAAAGCAAGCCCTCCGCCTGGGGCAACCACCACCAACCACTACCATAACCTCCAGCAGCAGCCTCAGCCCCAGCCGTAGGGTGGCTCTGCCAGCTGTGGTGGCCCTCAGAGCCGGGCAGGGGCTGATGCGGGAGGCATGAGATGAAATCGGTGGCAGTAGAGACCCGTGACTTTCAGTGTTTCTTCCTTTTATCCCCCCATCCCTGCCCTCCTCCCCCCAACCCAGAGGCGGTGTGAACAAAAATAAACTAAACAAGGCTCATGAGATTCACTAAAGCTAACCAATAAACGTTTGCAATAGAGCAAATTTTATTGATTACAATTATTATTTGATCTATATTATGCTGTGTTGGAAGAACATCAACTCAAGGATTTAAAATTGTACAGTTCAATTGTCTAGATAATAAAAAAAAATTGCTTCTTCTGATGTTAAGTTAATGCAAGATTTCTCACAATATACTCCAATATTATCTCGCTGAATGTGGGGGTTATGTTCCTGGAAAATGCCGTGTTGGGCAAAACCAGGTTCAACAACTAATAGTCCTTTCTAGATTTGAAGCTTTCGTGATTGCAAGGATCCATACTCTTTGGTTCTATTCGGTAAAGTCACGTAGGTAAAAAATAAAACAACAAAAATCACGACGTTTTGGCGACAAGACAAGTAGCCTTCATCAGGTGAAGGGACCAGACTGTCTCGAGGACAGCGCTGGAGTGAACACAGCCAAGCTCAGACCGCGACCTTTAAGCTTGTGTGAGAGGAATTAAGGTGCCTTGACAAAGGAATTAGCATAAAAAATTAGCATTCAATTGGCAGACTTAGCATGGTGAACGGTGTAGAGGGGGTGAACATGTGCAGGCCGGCGAGGGGGGGGAGGGGGAGTTTACATATTGATGGTGTGAAAAGGGAATTTAAGCAGCTGCGAAAGTTTGGGATACCACTACTTGAAAAAATATACTGTACCATTGAAAATTAGTTTAATGTTTGGTTCGATTTAGAACATCTTTCCAATGGTTGCTTAATTTGAAACCATCTTCTCGGTTGAAATTGTGTCCGTGTTTGTAAATCTGAATTGCCTCGTGAACAAATCTCTGATAAAAACCCGTGGGTTTGCAAAGAACCTTGGTATCGGAGAAAGTTATATCGTGATCACCCACAGCGTTGTAACAGTGATCAGCTACGGCAGAAGAATTTGTTCTGCCGTGTTTCAAATCTGATTTGTGCTCGCGAATTCGGTCAGAGACATGTCGTTTCGTCTCCCCGATATAGCAGTCACCACAGGTGCAGTTCAATCTGTAAACTCCAGGGTACTGTAAGTCAGGAATAACATCCTTCACGGAAGGGATCAGGTCACGGATTTTGTGTACTGTATTGAACCGGACCAGGATCTTGTGTTTGTTTAGAATTTTGGAGATCTTTTTAGTAACGCCTGCTATATATGGCAGTGTGATGGTTTTGATCGGAGTATCAAGTGGTTGTTTCTGTATGGAGGGAGAAACAGCTTGGCGGATGGTACGGTCAGAGTATCCATTCCTTTTGAGGGCCAGATGCACATGTTTTAATTCACTGGTCAAGTGGTGTTGGTCCGAAATGCAATGAGCCCTGTGGTATAACGTTTTGATGAGAGACGCAAAAGATATTCATCCACAGCATCTACAAGGGGACCGTGCACTACTCGTTGCTGCGGAGATGAGAGTCTTATCAGCGCCAAACCGCGTAGAGCCAAAACATCACCGCCATGTTCCGGAAAACGTACCTCAATGAGTAAACCGTGCATAGCTGAAACGGGCTTTCCATAAAACAGCATTTGGCAAGGTATGAATGCATAACGTTAAAATATTTTCACAATACTCCAACTCGCCATGAACATAATTAGATTTTCGTAAATATTACAGCAGACTACTTAATGTATATGCCAGAGTAAAGGCCGTATGTAATGTCTCGCAGTCACTGACTTTGGACAGCAGCATACCTTGGTTTTCCTTTTGGTCGGCGGACTCAAAATGTCTGCATTATTCGTAAGTGTTGTGGAAGACGTGGGTGGAGATGTCTAAAGGAAAGATTCACCGATCACATTTCAGTGAAACTAGTTTTTTTTCTTCCAGCAGTCAACATATCATCACACAGTCTACACGGTGGAATGTATCAATTTGCTGAGCACATCTCAACTATACATTGCATGTGCACTGCTGAAGGCCTCCCACCAACATGGGTTTGACCATACTTCACCACTTGTACAAGTGCGAGTTGCTGAAGGAAGGAGGGGCCCAAGACCAGTTAAGATATCACTGATGTTACCCATGGCCGAAATATTGAACGCATATCGCCAGGTTCATAATGCAGCACCCGAACCACTGCACCACCGCCTCACCAGTATTTTATTTATAAAATATTATCTATTTCATTTTCTTAAGAAAAAAAAAAACAAATGTCGAATAATGGAATCGCACATTTTGGTTTGAATCAAGGTCAAAAGTGCTATGTGCGGCCTCGGCTCTCACCCAGATGCAGGAGCAGTCGTCATTGCTGAGCTCCAGCTGCAGACGGTGTCGCCCATCTTTTTTTGCGTGTGGCGACTTGTCCACTAAGAACTCCGACAGGGCCACCACGTCCTGGTGCCCAAAACACACGGCGGTCAGACGGGTGGCGATGTGCCACGCCAAGTGGCCTCGACAACTGCGGGCGTTTACAAAAGTGTGCATTTCATAGGGCGGTTGTAAGGCATGTAATGCAAGGTGAATTACAATTCTTACGCTCACAATACAAAGCATCCAAATTGCGTCAGACAGCTTGGTAATGCAGTATAGGTATTTAAGAGGTATATTTTTCAGGTCATTGCTTTTAAGGGCAACTATGGCACTCTCAAAAATCCACAACCATTTGTCAACAACTATAAACATGCTTTAAGTTCCTCTTTATTTTGATTTAAAGCTTTCGTGACTGCAGTAATTCATATTCTTAGTTCTTTCGGTAAAGTCACGTTGAAGGGAAACAACAAAATGACACCTTTCAGCGCTCTTGCATTTGAAATAATCACCCAAAACGCACTATCTCATGAGACTTTTGAACCTGGATAGTGCTTGGGATGACAGGTGACCACCATGCACAAAAAAGTGTTTAGGCTGCTGCGGCACTACATTGGACAAAGGGAAGTGCGGTAAAATCCACTGTTCACCTTCACCAATCTGTACTGAGAACCATGATTCAGTATGATGAAATAACCTGCATCACCCGCACTGTGTGGAAAGGCCCTCAACCAGTGGTGGATTGACAAAAGTGGAGTACATGAACATAATTTTGTGAACGCACCCCATCATTCAAAGCTTTGTCACTCTCAAGGGCCAGACTTCCAAAGATGAACACATTCATGGCTTTTCCATCAGCTGTTGAAGGTCCGGCATCATCTGAAAACATCACAAAGCACGAGAAAAACAAGCTTATGTTTACGTATATAGAGTATAGCATTACAGGATTTACTGAGCACATAGTAGAGCTGTTCATTACAAAGGCTTGATATTTTACCCAGAGCTATTTTAAAGTCACTTTTTATTAGGTGCGTGTAATGATGTGGTTGAGCGCAGAGGAAAATGCAAAAGTGGCACATTTGAAGGCTAACTCAAGCACGACACAATAAAGAAAATACCAGTTTCTGCAATATTCCTAACAGGCAAGTGTCTGGATAAGGAAACTTTTGGCCACATCCATGAAGTTCGCATAAACTCAATTTGCCCGAGGGTAATGGAAAATATCGCAATACCACATTGTGAAAGAATATTACCTTACTTAAATTTAATATGCGTATTTGTTTCTCTACAATACAAGCTATATGTAAATATATTTCTGTGTATGCATAGACAAAGTATATGGCATGGCTTATGATGACATCTGGGATTTTTTTTTCCCCCTTCATATGGACCCAGGAAAACCATCGCGTAATAAAATTAGGACAGCTAACACCTTACATGTTAGTTTAACACGTAGGCTTTTGCCTACGTGTTAAACTAACGAAACAGTAAGACTTCTCCACAAATTTGGCTGTCGTCTGATGAAGCTAGTTGTAATTACTGGCGAAACGTCGTACTCAGATTGTAAATGTTGTGGCTTGGCTATCCAACACACCGGTGTGCTGTATTAGTGACGAATTGACATGTTCTGTTTTTTTTGTTATTTTATTTTTACCTACGTGACTTTACCGAATAGAACCAAAGAGTATGTTCTGTTTACGTGACAACTCTTACTAGTTGGCTGTGTTGGGTGGTGGTGGGTTTTAACGACAGATTTATATATTTACGTGCTCTAACCCAAAAAACCCTCTATTATGGACCTTACGTGTTAACTTAATTGTATATGCTTGTGTTGTGAATTGCAAATTTCGTACACACCTTCCTCCAAGACCATTTTGATTAGTTTAGTATTCCCTGTGATCAGCGGAAACCTCTTGCAAATCCGCCCCTGTGCGCAGGCAAAGCAGAAATCTGTGTCAAACAGTCGTCATTGCACGTCCTTGAGAGTTGATGCAATCGGTAAAAACAAGACATGGTCAATGAACAATGCACTGTGCTGTGTAGGGTAAGGTGCTGCTGTCTAAACAACCTTGACATAGCGGTCATGGCTAACTTTGCCAACATCGAGATCTCGAAAGTATATCCGCTTCAGTCCTGGAGGGCAGTGGTGATCAAGTAAACTGGAGGCTGGCAAGGGTTTCACCGGCATTCTGAGGTACACAAACCACAAAAGTGCATAGTTACAAGCAAGGGTGCAACAGATGTTCAGTACTTAGCAAATAGCTGATTCGCGAGTCAAGATAGCTAAGTACTTCATTACATAACAGAGGTGATGAATCTATATTGGGTCTCATATGGCTTCCTTAGCTCTCTACTAAATACAATGACTCTCATTATGAGACCTCCTTTGCCAGTAACAAGATATAGTAATAGGTTTTACCCTTTTAACTGGCACAAAAACTGACACCTTTATTCAAGGCATTATGTTTGCAATAACCACAACACAAGCAGTCAAAATGCAAACAAAAGAGATAATAATATGCACTGTCCTTGAATTTGATTGGTCCAACACCAGTGGAGACTAGGCTCTAAGAATTTGACTGCTTGTGTTGTGGTTATTGCAAACATGATGCCTTGAATAAAGGTCAGTTTTTGTGCCAGTTAAAAGGGTAAAACCTATTACTATATCTTGTTACTGGCAAAGGAGGTCTCATAATGTAAATGCTCACCCCGAGCCCTCAATACTTTGATAGTGCGCTGTTTTTGAGTTGTACGCCTTTTGGCGTCTTCTGGTCCAACACCAGTGGAGACTAGGCTCTAAGAAAAACCGTCTCGGGTGTGGACCAATCAAATTCAAGGATAGTGCATATTATTATCAGAGTTGTCTCTCTTGTTTGCATTTTGACTGCTTGTGTTGTGGTTATTGCAAACATGATGCCTTGAATAAAGGTGTCAGTTTTTGTGCCAGTTAAAAGGGTAATACCTATTACTATACAATGACTCTCATTTCACACCTACTTCAATAAATTAACTTGCATTTACTAAATTGTAAAATTGACACCTAATGTGCTCTTAAATTGTTTAGTAAAAATACATTTCGTGGAATAGCATCTGAATGGGCTCTCTCCAGGTTAAATAAAGAAATGAGCATCAAAATATTATTTTAGGGTTCCCACCTGGTAAAATAAAGGACATTATCTCAGCATAACGGTGGTGTTCGTGGTTAGCACACTGGGCTTGCTATCCAGTGGTAATAAACGAACCGGTAACCGGTTCGTAGTTTTAAATGAGTTTCTTAAATCCTTCCTGCCCACCCACTGTGCATCAGCAGTATAAATGGGTACACCGCAGTCGATCGACAGATCGCATGTTGGGGTAAAGCGTTTGGGTACTCCCACCTCCTTCAAAACGTCTGGCCAGTGTCGAAGAGCAGAATATCTAGAGTTATCTCTGATGCATGCACTTGACATTTCGAGTATCAACGTTACGTTGTTATACCAGGCGAGAATTCAAGAGGCCAGGTTCAGTCGAAGTTTAAAGACAGACCTGGGGCATTAGCCTGCAAGTGGGGTTCGGGGGAAAGAGGGATATTGTTGCCGTGGCTAATCCCGGACCTCCAATTAGCACGTTGAGCTACGTACGGTGAAAAAGAAGTTCAACAGTACAAATTGCGGTGTAGTTATCGAATTTGGCCGTCACGGAACGCACAGCCTATCCCTGTGATTGACTATTATCATACCCGCAGATATAACCAGGGCGGCCTTGTTGTACGGTAATTCGTGACGTTTGTTTTTAGATTAAGGACCACCCGTCGTGGATTCACCACGCGCACATACCTGCCAACCCCTTATCGGTGCCCTCTCGACCTTATTACAGACCAATTGAGACAATCGGTCAACCCCGTGTCACACATATAAATCTCAACGTTCATCCTACAAAGTCCCATCGTCACAAGGGAGAAACACAATTAAATAAACAACATTTTCAAAACAAAATTTCCCCGTACAAGAATACGGGTAAACGGTATGGGTTAACAGGTATGCACGTGCATTGCGGCTCTTGAAATATAATTACAGAGTAAAGAATATATAACTTGTTATCTTGGTTGCATGCCCCCTGGGCTAGGCCAAGTTACCGCACTTCGGCCAGCGGTGGCGCGAGTGAAGCAACGCCCCCCCCCCCAGGCACCCCTCTATCTGTTGTTAGGATGTTATTATTACTCGACCTGTTTAATGATCTCGGTGAGGGGGACCCCGTCGGGATGAGTGAGAGGAGGAGGAGGAAGCCGCCTCGCCTTGTAAATACAGCGGCCTCCCAACGCGAGCAGCCGATCCCGCGACGTTTAATAGGCTGCGTCTACCGCTGAAACGCGAGCAAGCGAGCGAGCCGAAGCGTGCTTTACGGGACAAAACAAGACGTTAAGAAACTGAAACACAAAATCAACGAACGGTCGTCACGGTAATTATTATTTAAAAAAAAAACAAATTCGCGCGCAATTTAAATCGTCGCAGAGCGAGCGACATCCCCCCGCCAAACGACTTGTTGTTCGTACGGTGGCCCTCACGCGGACTGTCATCGCTCGCTTAAATTTCCAAACGCGTTCTTGTTGCACGCGCGGTGGTCCAGATGTCCTGTGACCCCGAATTTTATTCCATAAAACTTAATAAATCTTATACTCTTAGTTTTTTCGGTAAAGTCACGTTGAAGAGAAACAACAAATTAATAAAATATATATAAAACAATAAAAAATTCTCACGACGTTTCGACCATAACTCAAACGGTCGTCGACCGTTTGAGTTATGGTCGTCGACCGTTTGAGTTATGGTCGAAACGGCGTGAGAATTTTTTATTGTTTTATATATATTTTATTAATTTGTTGTTTCTCTTCAACGTGACTTTACCGAAAAAACTAAGAGTATGAATTACTGCAGTCACGAAAGCTTTAAATCAAAATTTAATAAATCTTCTTTGGTTCTTTCGGTAAAGTCACGTATAATGAGAATAAAATAATAAATTGATAAAATAAAATAACACGATAATATTCTCACGACGTTTCGGCCACAACACAAGCGGAATAAATTGATCAAATAAAATAACACAATACTATTCTCACGACGTTTCTCATTCTACGTGACTTTACCGAAAAAACCAAAGAAGATGAATCCTTGCAGTCACGAAAGCCTACACGTTGTATAATATATTTGTTAGTTTAACACGTAGGCTTTCGCGATCAATATTATTCATAATAAAGGTTTTTGGGTTAGATCGCATTATTTACTAATTATAACAATTAACTGATTACTAATTTATCACATACTTACAATAACCCCCCTTCCGCCACCTCTGATTTCTGCACCTGATTGGGTATAGTGATTGGGTTCAGTTATTAAACAATACACATTACAACTAATTACTAATCTACAACTGATTACTAATCATAACAATTAACTGATTACTAATCTATTATATAATTACAATACACCCCCTCCCGCCTCTGATCTCTGCATCTGATTGGATTAAATGATCATGACGTCACCCTGCTGCTCTATTTAAGACCGGGAGCAGGTGGAGGGCTTCACTATTCTGGCAAATCGCCCGATGATGCTGAATATAATTACCAGTGAAACGGCGAACTCAAAAATTGTAAATGTTGTGGATTCACTTTTCAACACACCGGTGGGCTAAAGTAGTGAACTATTTGTCTTTTGTCAGCGTGACACTTTTTTGCTGATTGGCCGTGTCTGGTAGTGGAGGGTTGCGACACATTTATAAATAACGCTATACCCACAACTTTATTATGAATATATTTGTTATATTAACACTGCGGCATGGATTTATATGGCGTCTAGATTTCCCACGCGTCTCAAAACGCCGCGCAAAAACACTGGGCATAGTTATTGAAGAGAGCGTGTACCGTGTTGGTCTGCATGGATCTCCGTATGAGTCTATGGGTCTCTGTGAGTGTGGGGGTTTCTGTGTTGAGTCCTTTGTCTTTGAATGACAGAGTAGCAGCCAGGAATGAGGGCATGCACAATCGCTGTAGCGATGGAACGAGCTCGTGCAAGGAGGACATCGCAGGATTGCGAGGAATGGCAATGGCCTGGGGAGGTCTTCGTCCAGCAGTGGATTGACCATGGATGATGACGATGATGATATCGGCTAAGTGGCATCTACCCCAGTGATTTCAAAAAAAGAGTTAAATCAGACAGGAAAGATAAGCTTTTCTCCACTGTCATTCTAATAATATTGAAACTAATAATGAATAGGAATATAGGCCAGTAGGGCTGTTATTCTCCCTGATGACCTCTGAGCAGGGAAAACCCAGGACAATGTCTTACTGCTTTCATGCCATGAAATATAAATTAAAACTGTTACACAGCGCTATACAGTGAATACATTCGAATACTGGGAGTTTATGATATTTAACACGGTTGGCTACGTACGGTGCGAAATAATTTAAACATACATACCTGCATATAACAGTTATCCTTTTTTAAAATCATCAGCCATGGTCAATCCGATTCTGGATGAAGGCCTCCCCAATCCACCTCCACCATGTCGCGTTTCTGAAATGCAATAATCCATCCGAGACCTTGCACACCTGTTGATTTCATCGCTTCATCTTCTCGGTTGTACATCATGTTGGATGCTGTTCTAATATTTAACCTCGGGCACACATTGTTAGGTGCGTGCAAATTGCACCAGGAATTGGTACAATTATGATAATTTAATATTATAGTGCAGTGTTTGCTTGTTGTTTTTTGTTACCACAACCTCTGCTATGATCGCGCACGAAAACACAAATATGCCCTCTGTATACGCCGCAAGGCTCTATGGAAATAATGTATCTGAAGCACGCCTCTAATGGGACACATTTGTACTTCACAGCTGGAAGTGAAGCCTTGTGTGGGTGGTGTGCAAACTAATGCATGTGTCAGAGGCTAATTGGATATTAGGGCGTGCGATCCATTTGCTTGGATACGTATTAATAAACTGTAATAATACAATCAAGTAGTAAAAATACGATGATACGGCGCGTTACTATCACACGGGGGGGAGGGGGCTATACAATTACATTGTGCAATAGAATTGTGCGTTATTAATTACGCACAATCAATGTGGAGGGACGCGGTGTCTCGTATATTAATCAACTGCAATTAACCGCGCATTTCCCCCACACACGTGTAGTGGTTGATGGATGAAAAATTAAACGCGCACACACGCGAAAGTGTATGATGTTGAACACGTGGGCCTCACCGACCAATATTATGATACACGATTGATGGATTGGGTCACGTGGCCGTTTAAGTAAAATGTGTGTCGTATACCGTCCACCACCCGACACGGCCAATGAATATAGCGAGAGTTATATTGGTATGTATGCGAGTCTATGGATCTCCACATTTGTCTATGGGTATATTGTGTGAGTATGGCTTTCTGTGTGAGTCTATAGATTTCCGTATTAGACTATAGGTCTCTATGTGAGTACAGCAAGTGTGTTCCTGTGTGCGCCTTTGTCTTTGAATGTCTTTGGGGTTACCGGAGCCGTGTGATGATGAACAATCGTACCGATTTATTGCTTCAGCGTTCCACACGCATTTAACAATTAGGCATGCATGTGTATGTTGAACTTCTTTCGCACCGTACGTAGGCCAACCGTGCTAATCGGAGGTACGACAACCTCTCGCTTGTAGTGACAACCGGCAATAGTCGTGAAGTTGTCACCAAGGACAGCAGGCGAGGAGGCCACCCATGTGATTGCCGTGCTGTCTCTCAGTGGCATAATTCAAAGCCAGCGTCTCGCCAAACCTTTGAATGTTGTTGATGCACTTATTGCAGACTGTACCTTGTCATTTTGTAGACTCGCTGCAGGCATTTCGCGTGCAGCATTTTTAGGTGGGTGGGGGGACAGAAAGAGTGTCCAAGTTATTCCTCAGGATCCCCAACATTCGGTATAAAATGATAATAATTTAGTCATTTGTCAATGCGCTGCTGCATTGTAAGCCTTCCCCACGCAGTTGTTAGTCTTTCCAGTCGTTTGGCCACACCTCACCGCGATAGTAATTGTGAGCAGTGTGGGGATGGTGGCTATATAAAGGGCCGTTTTTGATATCGCGAGCCACTGATGCTGGGCTATGGCTCGGAATCTAATTCAGGTTGATAGGTCCAGAGCGCGTTACACAAACCACTGTGGTACCACTCTACAGCATTCAGTCTAAAGCATACTACAGTGTTGTATATGTGAACGGCGTATGCACAGTGTGAAATGGAATTGTAAAATAGCCATTTATCACACTGGGGCAGCAGTAAAAGCAATCAAAATTATGGTTCCTAGAGAATTCAGTTTGTGGCAGCATGGGTGGCTCAATGTGGGTTCCTGTGGGAGACAGCCATTCATCACACCTGGCAGCTTAGTTTAGGGTTGACAGGTCGGAATCGGCTGACTGCCTTAACCTGTATATACACAAAAAACAACAAAGACAAATATCCCTTGTATATACTTAACAGACTTTTGGGTAGCGAGCACCTATGAAGGTCGGAACGGCACATGATAGGGTGGGTGGCCAGAACCACGACCGACCGCCTTTGTTTCCCCAGTGGCGATGTTTTCGCACACTGCACCATGTACTCGTTTGAGGCTGAGTCGACCTAGGGGAGGCCCAGGACCGGTTCAGATAATAGATCGTCACTGGTATTGGCCGTGAGCAGGAGTTGTACTTGGGTCGCCAGGTTTGTAGCGCAGTGCGCTAACCGCTACACTACCACTCCCAACATTATACATACTCACATATTCAGGGTGCTTAATTTTTTTTTTTACACTTATATGGGACTATCGTTTTTAATGGAAATAGAACGGATAATGCACTGTTACATGATAACAAATGTAATGTTAATAGCTTCAAAAAGTCAAAGAGTCTCCGCTTGTTCGCCATCGTTGTCAACACATGGCCTGGAATCTTCTCCAGGTGATCTCCAGAGCCTGGAGGCAGCAGCACATGTCACGTGGTATTGTTGCACATTCTCATAAGTGTTAAACATTTTTGAAGCACCCTGTATATACACACACGCACACACATAAGCTGACTCATGGATACATCAATGGAGTCTGCGAAGTGACACTTGGGCAAGCTGATTTGGTTGATTGGCAGTGTCGATGTCGTGTTCATCATAAAGGTTTTTGGGTTAGATCGCGTCAGTATAAATGTGTCGTAACCCTCCACCACCCTACACAGCCATTAAGTAAGGGATTTGTCACGTAAACAAAACGCCAATTAGTTACTACTTCAGCCCACCGGTGTGTTGGACAGTAAATCCACAACATTTACAATTTGAGTACGACGTTTCGCCAGAATAGTGAAACCATCCACCTGCTTCCCGTCTTAAATAGAGCAAGATGATGTTATCACTGAACCCATCATTGGCTGTGTCGGGTGGTGGAGGGTTACGATACAACATTTATACTATCGCGATCTAACCCCCCCAAAAATTAAACTTTTATTATGAATATATTGGTCGCGAAAGCCTACGTTTTGTTAAACTGGATGTCGTGTGTCAGCTGGCCGTTCTGGCTGGTCGGACAACCGCACGTGATGGGTGTCTGGAAAAATAACATTTGCATCGCTTGCAATTTGAAATCGTTATCCAGGAGAGCCTCGCAGAATCTCCGACACCCACTTTTTCATCGTCGAGTCCTATTACGTTGGCCCCCCAAATTTCATTTTTCGGATGTTTCCTCATGCAGCAGGAATGCGGAGAGTTGTCGGTGGAAACGAACCCATTGCGCAGGCGGGGGGGGGGGGGGGAATGCTGACGCTGCGCAAATAATAATAATAATACATCAACGCGCTGAAATTGTGGAATGCAAGGCACGTCACACTGGCTTGCCAATGACATCCCCCCCCCCCCCACGTCGGCCTTTCACTTTTTTTGTATTTCTGCACGTTGATGTAGCGCGCGGATATCACCATTGTAATGTCTCCACGTGCATTGCTCAACGTTCGCTTCCCCGTTGTGGCTCTTAAGGGGGTCAAGAGGAGGGCGCGCGCCCTGAAGGCCCCCCCCCCACCACTCAATGCCCGTGTCCTCACCTGCACGGTGATGTCACCGTGCTCCCAAGTGCGCATATCGACGTAACTTCAAAGCGCGGCGCCTTTTGTGAAAGCGTCACGCCTGTAACTTGCGGTGTACGCACGACGAGGCCAGGCTATGAAAGCGATTCGTCACTTAGATGCCAACATTTGGCGATGCTACCCGGGGGAAAAAATAATAATTTCACACGTTTATTTCGCGGATCGTGCTATGTTGCTGTGACGTTGACCAACTTCAATGTATTATTGACTAGCT